CAGGTGAATGGGTTCAAACCCAAACTGGAAACTGTATGCTATCTAGTGCTACTGGATTTGTCAAAATGTAATTTTCAAAAGTGAAGAACGTTGTTCTCCTACAAACATAAAGTGAAAATGTATCAATATTTATTTAATTAATTAACGAGGGAATCAGTTGGATGTAAAAACTGTTCCCAGGAGAGGGCAGTAATTTAAACATCTAACCCTTCTTGGGAGAGGATCCTCCTTGGCTCTACAAGGCTGCTTGGTTGTGGCCACAGTTTTTGTCTTGCTGTATCGACCCCCTAAGGAGAAGGCAGGTAGATCAAGATGGAGTCTACACATCTGCAGGGTGCCCTCTGCAAGTAGCTTTGATGTTGTTAGACTTCAAAGGAACATCCTCCTCCCCTCTGGCTCTGTGCTGTCACGTGCAGGATATAATAGACTCTTGCAAGGGGCGAATGAAACTGTTCTCTTTGGCAGCTGAGTTGAGTAAGATTGATTTTTAGATGGCAGCCCCTTCTCAGACAGGCTTAAAATAAAAACAGTCGAGATGAGTTTGTGAGTAGGAATTTGGAAACCAGACCTAAGAGGACCTTGCAAAGACTGAACTCCTTTGTGTTAGATGCTCACTTGATTCATCCTAACACAGAGCCTAGCACACAGTGGGTGCTCAGAAAATGTTTGCTGGATGAATCTCAAGAATTTCCCTTAGGCAGCAAGGACTCACTTTCCAGGAGCGGGTAGGTTGAGGGCTAGAAGAAAGTGAGGAGGCTGTCATGTTCTGCTGAATGATCTTCGTTGCTGAGAACAATTTCTTGCATTCACCCCCATTTCATATTCCAGCTCTTCTTTTTTAAGGAGAATATGAATTTAAGAGTATTTCCTCTTTTCTCCCTCATTCTTCCTCTTTGAATGTGATGACATCACTATCATAACCCTCGTGGTTGACATTTTTCAGTGACTCACCACTTTACTATGTTGGTGGTTGTACATTTCAACAGATAATTGTCTTTCCCTCTCTCCTGAGCATGACACCTACTCACATCTGGAGACTTCTAACACAACAAAGCCTCACCAAGCCCCACTGAACCTGGTAGTGAAAGTGACAGTTACTTATGAATAAAAGATGGGAAGTGACGTTGTGGATGAGAAGACAGGCCTCCTCCGTCAGGCATGAACTGTTAGTCCTAAAACCACCCCAAAGGTCAGCATTTCTTTGAGGAGGAGTAAAGGGAAATCTCCTGGGAAATGAAGGCCACTGTCCTTGACACTAAGCATGGCAAAGGTGTTCTAAGTGGATTGAAGCCCTCAGGGTGCTTCATCCAGGCACCCCTGAGGGAGGAGGAGCTTCTGAGAAGGAAAGTCCCAGAGCATGGTATTCTGGGGTTTAGTCTTGTTTTTAATGGGTCAGAGGAGTTCCTCTGTCTCTGGGAAATGCCTCCATTTATTGTGTGGGTCTCTTCACAGGCAGCATTCAAGTTGGTTTGGTCAACTGAGACTTGGGCTCAAACTGGCTTCCCCGCTGGCCGGACCTGTTTTAAGTGGACTCTGAGTGACTTCTGCCCCTGCTTCCTTTGGTAATAATATTCTCTAGGGTTTGTATGATTACATTAAACATACTTGCTCATGATATTTATTTTATGGTGATTTTAAATTCTTACTGAACTTGTAATGCACTGAAATTTTGTGTATTACCTCTCTGTTTTGGCACCTTGACTGATGTACTCGCTTACCGTATATGTAAGACTGCCCCATGTACGTATTAAGAGGTTTTTGTCATTTTGTGAGGATGAGGGACTCTTCAATGAGTAGGGAATCACTAATTTATAAAACCAGAAGCTCAGCATCCTAAACTGTAGGGACTTTGTCTCAGAGAGACCATAAAATCCTGATAGGTCAAAAAGGGTTAAGTCCTTTTTTATTATTTAACTTTCCTGGCATTTATGACTTGGCTCCAGATAAAACTGTGCGCATTTTGTAACAGGGACAATGCACTATTGTTTACTGAATTCCTCATAGCACCTAGCACAGGGCTTTGCATATAGTTAATGCTCTGTAACTACTTGATATTATTTGAAGGTTTAGGTTTGATAATGAACCCAGCTCCCCTCATTCATTCATTCATTCATTCATGCCACACAAATTCGTTGAACATCTTACTATGTGGTGGGCACTGTTCCGGCACTCAGGATTCAACAGTCCCTGCCCTCACGGAGCTTTTATTCAAGTAGGGGAGATAGACAATAAATAAGACAAAGTAATAAAATATGCAATATGGGAGGTAGTGATAAATACCAAGAAGAAAGCCATCAAGGAGGAAAGGTGCATGCAAAGCTTGGTAGGTGGTCAGGGAAGGCCTCACCGAGAAGGAGGCTTCTGGAAGTGAAGGAGTGAGTTTCATGGATTTCTGTGGGAAGAGCTTTCAGAGCAGAAAACAAAACAAGTGCAAAGACCCTGAGAGAGAGGTGTGCCTGGCATGTTCGAGAGTCCCTCCTCTGGCCAGTCAGCCCTGGATGGTCGGGTCTTTGGCCTCTATGACCTCTTCTCCTCCCACTTCCTACCTCCTTCTCTCCACCCCACCCCACTGACCTCCTGCAGGCAGGAAAGAGCATACCACCTGGACCTCTTGTCTTTCCCTGTCATCAGAAGGCCTGCAAGGTGGAGAGCCGGCTCTTCTGACCTAGCCCTTCATTGCATGGGGCTTGAGCTTTCTCAAAATGGGGCCACTTCTGGAAGGACAAATGGCAGTGTCTTCCAGTGCAGTGTTTTTAGCAGAAAGTTGTCCGTGATGGAAAGGATGGAGGAAGCTGCCTTATAGTCAGTAGGAACACAGTTCGGGTTCAAAACAAGGAAAGCAGATATGGAGGAAAGGGAGGGGGGAGGCTCTAGGTGTCTCAAAAGAGCATCATTCGGAGACCACTCCACTGGCATCCTCTGGAAGTGAGAGGATCCTGGCCTGCCCTGACAGCACCTGAGCTGGTTGTTCTGATGCCAGGTCTTTCAAAACTTGCCCCAGTGTTCCCATCTGTAACCCTGGAGTCATTTGTTCCAAGGCTTTCCTGGAGATTTGTTGCAAAGTGCTGCCAGCCCTCCAAAGATTTGCTACCTTAAAAAAATCATTTTATATAGAATTGCTATTCAGATATAGAAAAACAGAACAGTGGGAAGCCAATGGGAGAGGATCACCTGAGCCCAGGAGTTTGAGGTTGCAGTGAGCCATGATTGTGCCACTGCACTCCAGCCTGGGTGACAGACCTTGTCCTGAAAAAAGAAAAAGAAAAATACAATGGAAAAGGCCTTGGGAAGAATTACTCAGAACAATGCAAACATTCACCTCTCAGTGCTTCTAAAGCTTTGGATCATGGCTGCTTCTCAGGCTGATTGTGGGTTCAAATAACAAAGGGATTTAGCAGGCAGACAGCTCTTTCTAGCTATCAGATTGAGGAAGCTGGAACTAGGAATAAACTTTGTTAAAAAAAGTTTATAATCTTTATTCCTTTATGTGGGAATTTTAATACAGGTTAGTCTGGGTGAAATGAATAAAGAAAACAACCTCTGTCCTCCATACTCCTCACTGTCAGCTCCTCGGGGCCTCAGCCTGAGAACTGAGCAGGATTGCCTGTCACCCACCACTGTCCTGGGTGACACCCACTCCCCCTGGTGCCACCTGAGGGCACAAAGCCCCCGGGGCTGGGACCTGACTACCTGCTTCTCCTGGCCAGTGGGTAGGAGCAAGGAAGATCTTGCCAAAATAAAAGCTGTGGCCATCAAGTAGAAGGGTGGGGGAGGGGGTGCATGAGCAAGGCTGGATGACAGTCCCCCGACCATGCCTCGCCACCCAGCTGGGTTATCAGTTGTTGCATTCCCTTGGAGAGTCATTTACGACTGAGGAGGCAGGTTCCAGAGGCTTCAGCAGAAATCAAAAGGCAGCAGCAGTTATTACCTCGTCTGTTCCTCACGTCTCTCTCTTCGCCTCCCAGCTTTTCTTAATATAAGGGTCTGCTCTTGTGGCCTCGAGAAGTCCCTGCCTATTCTTATACTCATCATCCCTCATAGAACAAAGTGACGGTCAGGGGCAGTGCAGCAGGGGGCTTGATGCCTCCCTAACAGTGACCATAATGGTGGTGAGCTGCTCAGTGCCAGCCATAGGGCTAAATTTTTCTATGTGTATTGTCTCAGTCAGTCGGTCATTATTGTCCGCATTTTATTGAGAAGAAAACTGAGGATGAGGTCACACTGTATGTGGTGGAGCCAGATTTTAAGCCGCAGGTACAAGGACTTAAAACTCGCCCCTGTGCTGCCCACTGTGGCCGCGCGCATCCTGCACACTCCAGGCTGTGCTCTGTGCAGGGGCCACTGTGCTTATTCGAGACACAACTGCGCTGCTAATGTGCTTCTGAGCTGCTAATGAAGTCTTGATGAGTCTCTGTTCCACCTTTAGCTCTTTGCTTTTCAAGAATAGCCTATTGTCCAGCAGCATGGACACTGCCCGGGAGCTTATTAGAACTGCGGACTCCTGGATCCACCCACTCCAGGCCTGTTAGATCACAATCTGCATTTAAACAAGGTCCTCCAGTGTGCTATGGGAGAAGCGCAGCTCTCAAGGTGTTTTTTGCTTTACAAAAGCTAGTTCAGGGGCTTCTTTCAGAATAAGGGCTGGGGCACACATAACACCTGGAAGTCCCATGCTGGTGTGTCCCTGTTGGCAGAAACCACAGTTTCCCTGCAAGGGATGGGGAAAGCCAAACCCAGCTTCAGTATTTATTTCCAGGGGACTGAACAAAATAGCTCAAAGAAACGCTCTCAGCAGCTCTCTGAGTTAGGCAGACCTGCCAGTGTGCAGACACTAGATGGCAATGAATGGCCAGGCATGGGCAGCAAGCAGGCGCAGCTCCGTCACTGTCAAGGGGCAAGACAAAGTGATAAAGGCAAGGTGGGGGCGGGAAGTGCGCTTGAGCACAGTTGGGCTGTGAGAGGAGATTGTTGGGATGATATTAAAGAAACGGAGACTTCACCAGCAAGTCCGGGAAGGCTGTTTTGTGGAATGAGAGATTTGGGCAAGAGTAATTGCTTCTTTTTTGCCTCTAGCTATGTTAGACACATGCAGTCTCTCCCCACAGGGGAGGGATGTCAGCAGCTGGTATAGTGAAGCTGAGGGAATTAAGCCTGGGTAAAAAGTTCCTAATCTACTTCGCTCTGCTCCCTGAGGTCAGGGATGCAGTGGCAGGCGGTCTGCAACGCTGGTTAGTGAAAGCTGGCCTGCGGGAATGAGCACTTTCCCACCATGCCCTGTGCTGGCAGAAGGTGCCCACACGCTGCCCAGGTGCTCATGGGTAACACCCTCACGCCTCTGAAAGACTTGGAGGTGAAGTGCTTGCATCATGGTCCTCTTGTGTCCAGCTGTTTGGCTGAACCCGGGCTGGAAAAAAAAAAGCAGAATTATCTTGGATCCTAAGGTTCTCTTTTCTTCACCCTCCATAAGTTCCCTGGGACCAACTTGTAGGATGGAGGCCTGTCACACCCGTATTGGAGAGGCTGGAGTCCATCTTTGCACTTGAGGGACTTGGCTTCTAAGAAAACAAGGCAAAGGAAAGTTTTGTGAAATTCTCCAAACTGTAGGGTCACCTACAGAGCTGCCTGTTTTATTCTATGGTGGTTGGTTCCAGGAGGACCCTGTCGTTTGGTCAGTGGAGCCAAAAGCTGAAGAATTTTGTTGGAGAGTCATTGAAGAAAAAGTCATGTTTTCTTGACTCTTTGGTGGGAGTGCTGTCTGAAGTATCCTGGAGTTGTGACAGGTGGGTGGAGACACGTGATTCTTGGAGACTTCAGTGTTTAAGTTCAGGGTCTGGACTTTTGCAAGTTATCCTCTTTCTCCAAGCTGAATTTAGGCTTTGGCTGGATAGCTGACCAGTGTATATGTCTACAAGCCTATTGGTAATAGGGTTGCAGAATTACGGGATCAATGCTAGAAATTATTCTGTCTCTCTCTTGTCTTGTTCAGATGGAAAAACTGAGGTCCAGAGAGTTCCATTTGGTTTATTTCAGCAAAACATAGGCAAATGCCCACTCTGGACCAATCCCTGTGCTGGGGATCTAGGTTATAATGAAGAGTATGAGACACAGTATCTATCTGTATATGGATTAGTGATCAGCTTATCCATCTGTTTATGAATCAACTTATAAGCCCAGGTCACCTGCTGGTGAGTGATGAACGCAGCCATAGACAGACTACGGAAGGATTCATTTCTTCTTCCTTCCCTCCCTCCTCTCCTCCTTTCCTTTTTCCTTCCCTCTCTCCCTGACTTCCTTTTTTCCCTCCTTCCTTCCTTCATTTTTTTCTTTTTATACTTTTTTTTTTTTTTTGAAATTCTAATGATATTTTAAGCCTTGGGGGCCTTGCATTTACCAGATGGAAATGAGTAAGCAGTAATATTAGTGATTCCAAGGACAGGTTTGATGACTTTTGTCCTTCCCCAAAGGACTTGATGTAAGACGTAGTGCTTTTAGACCTGAGAAAGCAAATTTACTTATTTTTATTTATAGGAACTTGCCTTGAATTCTAAGTGGGGAAAATAAAACAAGATAGTAAACTTAAAGGGTTTTTTTTTTTTTTTTTTGGCCTGAGGAAATATACCCTCTACGATAGATAAGCTCAAAAATACCCCCAGGAAGATGCTGACCAAGCTGCAACCCAAACACAGTTTATTGGTGGGCTGCCCTGATCTCCAAGTTCTACTTCTTTTCTTTCAGGGTATATTACTTCAGTAGGATTTGTAGGTAGAAAGAAATGGTAAATTAAACACAAAGATGTTACCATCTTCTCTGGAAAATTGCTAGTGAATGCCTGCGTCAATTACACAGTGGTATGCAATGATATGAAAATCTCACGCAAATAGACCTCCAGCCCTCCTCACTGCTGCAAAATCTCCTAAAGGCTATAGTTTGGGCTTCTGCGTCTGTGCTGGCCAACAGGAAGATTGGAGGCCTGAACATCAGGCACCTGAAGCTTGCACATAACTGAGATTACAGGCCTCTAACAATCTTACATTTTATTCACAAACACAGGCATCTGCTACTAATTAAAGTATCAGGGTATAATTATACCCTTTCTTATTAGTAGATATGGAATCTGACAGTTGCTTAGATACAAAATAAGCAAGTGCAGATTGCGTTCTGCACACTCTTCATAGGCTAGGGAGACAGAACAACAGAATTTTCAAATGCTCTGTGTAAATGAGCCTTGTTGCCCAGAAAATGTGAAGTTCTGAATTATCATTGGTAAATTTGCCTGGGAACAGATGTTAATCCCATTACAACTCTGTGATTTGAGCTTTAATATCATTCAATTGTTTCCCTTGCCTGGTCCCCTCACCCCTGCACTGCACCCTAACAACCAAACAAAGGCACATGTCTTTCCAAGATACACACTGTTAAGGCCTGTCATCTAACAGCATTGCGGGGAGAAAGCAGTTCTGGCTTCCTCAGGAAATCCGGGAGCCTGAAGAACCTGTCTAAAATGGCAGGGCTGTGTTGGGGCTGGCTTAGCCATTGGGTTTTTCCCCCAGGGTCCACTTTGGGCTCAGTGGTGTGGATTCTGTGTCCAGGGAGCCTCGTGGTCAGTTTAAGATATCCTGTTCCCGTTGCCCAGCTATGTCATCACATCATATCATCAGAGAAGTCCCCTCCTGGCCCAGCAGCTCCGGGATCTCAGGGACCCCGGCTTTTTTCAGTCACCTGGTATAGCTCCAGTGTCTAGTTTGTTGCTTGACACTTAGAAGGTGCTTAGTAACTACTTATTGAAAGAATGGATTCTGCTGAGCCCTGACTTGCTATCATCCTGGGAAAGGTGACACTGTCAACCTCAGGAGTCATTTAGTCCTCAGAATGTGTGAATTGATTAGATCAGGAGTTGGCAGGCATAGCCACAAGGCCAAATTCTGCCTGCCAACCTGTCTGTGTGGTCTGTGAGCTAAGAATAATTTTTACATTTCTAAATCGTTGGAAGAAAAGCAAAAGAAGATTTCCTGATATGTGAAAATTATATGGAATTCAGATTTTTGTATCCAGAAATAAAATTTTATCAGAACACATCTATGCCCACTTATTTACATTTTGTCTACGGCTACTTTTGCCTAATAGTGGCAGAATTCAGTAGTTGCAACAAAGACCATGTGGCCTGTGAAGGCTCCACTAGTTACCATTTGGCATTTAACAGAAAAACATTTGATAGTTCCTGAATTAATTAGATCGTTCCTCGGGGTTAGCTTTCGACGTTGGAGCAATGGGATGGAGGAGGGAGAGGATACAGGGCGAATCACAGGGCAGACTAGCTAGGAGGCAGAACAGCCAGCGGTCTGGATGAGCACTTAGCCCTCTCCACGTCACACGTGTGCCAGCCCTGGCCCTTCCACTGTGGAAGTTTCCAGTTTCTCATTGTCATTCTGAAGAATACCTTCAAGGAACACAGCCATAATCACTTCTCAGAATGCTGCACTGTTTAGATGCAAAGGACTGTATCTTTTTGTTGTTTCTTGGTTGTTGTAAATCCTTAGTTCAAAATGCCCTTTCTTTGTCAAAGACATAAAATTTTGCTACTCAGACAGTGCTTGGGTAATAAGTCTGTATGTGTGAGTGAGTATGACCTGGAGCTTGTCTTTGGAAAGCAAATGTCTTTAGACTTTAGCCACCCAGCAGGCAACCTGGACAGCTGCCTCACTCTTAGCTTCCAGGATGGGGTTGACCCCCACTGGCAGGGTGCCACAAACTTTCTGTTTCTGAGCTCTTAGCCAGGGTGGATCCCTACCCTTCCAGAGAAGTACCTCTGTGCTTCAGCTGTCAAGGATGCAATCAGCCTAGTTAAAGCCTTGATAATCCATCTTAGTTATGGGTTCATATCCCAGGAGGCATCTTGTAGACCTGAGCCTCATTTTTCTGGAGTTTATAGGAGAACTTCCAGAGCATAGAACATCGTACAGTTTTCTTATTAGCCACTAAATTCTGAATTAGAGTTTAATTTTCTCCAAACCCCACTCCTCTCTGTGCTGGTCCCAGCCTCTGGGGGCCTGAAGACCTGACTCATTTATATGTGTAAAAAATGCCCAGTGTCTTTTGATGGTATATTTAATGGATTGGGGATAGATTTGCTTTCTGAGTGACAGTGATTAACACTGGCATTGTTTACCCTGAGCAGACCTGGGTTTTGAACATCATAAACAATAAGCAGATTTTCATGCCTTTTTCAAGAGTTGACTAGCAGGCTTCCTGTGGGGGCACTAGCTAGCTATCTGATCTAAAAGAGTTTATTTTTGAAAGTAATATAGGAAATGGTTTGTGGAAAAAAAATGCAAATTTCTACTTTCTAAATAATACTTACCATTTGTTGCATCTCTCACATGCCAGATAATTCTGTGGTATTCTGTATATATTTTCTCTAATCTTACAAGATAAATGTTATCTCCATTTTGCAGAGGCAGAAACTGTAACTGAAATAGGATGGATGAGTTGCCTGAGATTCCACAGGCAGGAAATGGCAAAACTCAAACTCAAACCCTTGTAGGTGTGACTTGGAGCTCATGCATGTAACATCACATTACACTGGCCCTCTGGACTGACATTTCAGCTATCTCACACTTTAAGAACAGGTAGAATTTTAGAAAGAAGCAAGACAAAAAGAAGTTAACAAATGGGATATGCAGACCCAGCCAACATGTATATTCATCTTAACTGGTAAAGCCCCATGTTTTCTTTCTTTCTTTTTTTTTTTTTTTGGTGATTGAGTCTCTTTCTCACCCATGCTAGAGTGCAGTGGTGCAATCTTGGCTCATTCCAACCTCTTCTTCCTGAGTAGCTGGGATTACAGTAGCCTACCGCCATGCTGGCTACTTTTTGTATTTTTAGTAGAGATGGGGTTTCTCCATGTTGGCCAGGCTGATCTCAAAAACTCCTGACCTCTGGTGATCCACCCGCCTTGGCCTCCCAAAGTGCTGAGATTACAGGTGTGAGCTACCACACCTGTCCCGAAGCCCCACATTTTCTTTAGCTAAAAGTTTCCATCTCCTTCCTTACTAGGCATTAAGAATAAAAAATGTTTAAAACCGTTTATTTAAAATTTGTCTATTTATTGTTCAATGAGTTCAAAATCCAACAGAGATAAGAAAGGATATAAAGAAAAAAGACAAATGTTCGAGGTGAGGGATATCCCAGGTACCGTGATTTGATCATGGCACATTGTATACATGTATTAAAATGTCATATGCACCCACCACATATATATAACTATTATAGACCGATAAAAAATTTACAAAGTAAAAAGGCCAATTCCTACCCCTGGGAGGGTTCTCTTAGGCCTTTTTGTAGGCCTATGTCAATACGATGGATTGCAAAAATGATCAAAGTTTCTCTCCCTGCATACCCATCCCTCTTTGCTCTGTGACTTTGAAGCTGCTTCTATCAAGAAGTGGTGTCTGCTTCCCCATCCCTTGAATCTGGGCTGGCCCTGTGACCAGCTTTGGAATGCTGGTCAGTGGAATACCAGTCAGTGGAATGCGGCAGCAGTGACCAAGTAAGTGCCAGTTCCCAGCCTAGGTCCTGCGTGCTAGCTTTCTTTTTCTCAGAAACTTGCTGAGCTACCTCCTACCATGTAGGCAAGCCCTGTATAGGCCCTTGGAGAACGAGAGACTGCATGGAGCTGATGAATTGCCTTAGCAAGTGCAAAAGGCTTGAGGACTGAGTTTTCTGTGTGCGACTTGAGCAGCTAGGAGGTCAGGGTGAACTGAGTGGTGAGAAATGAAGTAGC